GCACCCATCATTATAGTATCATACAGAATATTTTCACTGACCTAAAAATCCTCTGTGCTCTGCCTATCTATCCCTCCCTATACACATTTTAGAATCATTTTGTTGATACCCACAAAATAACTTGCTGGGATTTTGATTGGGTTTGCACTGAATCTAATTTCAAATTCCACTTGTTCATTGCTGGTATATAGGAAAGCAATCAACTTTTGTGTATTAACCTCGTATTTTGCAACCTTTCTATAATCACTTGTTACTTCCAGGACTTTTTTTGTCAATTCTTTTGGATTTCCTGCCTAGAAAATTATGTCATATGTGAACAAAGACAGTTTTATTTCTTCCTTCTCAATCTCTATACCTTTTTTTTCCTTTTTTTTGTCTTATTGCATTAGCTAGTACTTTCAGTATTATGTTGAAAGGAGTGGTGAGAGGAGAATCCCTGCCTTGTACCTGATCTTAGTGGGAAAGCTTTTAGTTTGTCATTAAATATGTTATCTGTAGGTTTCTTTTGTAGATTTTCTTTATCAAGTTAAGGAAGTTCTCGTCTTTCCCTAGTTTACTGAGACTTTTCCTAGTTTACTATCATGAATGGGTGTTGAATTTTGTTAAATGCTTTTTCTGCATCTATTGATATGATCGTGTGGGGTGTTTTTTGTTTTTGTTTTTTGCTTGTTGATGTGATGGATACATTAATTGATTTGTGAATGTTGAACCAGCCTTGCATACCTGGAATAAATACCTCTTGGTTGTGGTTATAATTCTTTTTATACATTCTTGGATTTATTTGCTAATATTTAGTTGAGGATTTTTGCATCTGTGTTCATGAGGTATGTTTATCTGTATATCTCTTGTAATGTCCTTATCTGGCTTTGGTATTAAGGTAATGCTGGCCTCATAGAATGAATTAGGAAGTATTCCTTCACCTCTTAATCTCTGAAAGAGATTGTAGAGAATTAGTATAATTTCTTCCTTAAGTGTTTGGTAAAATTAACTGGTGAACCCATCTGGGCCTATTGCTTTCTGCTTGGGAATGTTATTAATTATTAATTCAATTTCTTTAATAGATATAGGCCTATTCAGATTGTGTATTTTTTTCTTGTGTGAGTTTTGGCAGCTTGTATCTTCAAGAAATTGGTCCATTTCATCTTGGTTATCAAATTTGTCAGCATAGAATTGGTCATAGTATTCCTTTAGTATCTTTTTTTTTTTTTTTTTTGCTGTATGCAGGCCTCTCACTGTTGTGGCCTCTCCCGTTGCGGAGCACAGACTCTGGACGCGCAGGCTCAGCGGCCATGGCTCACTGGCCCAGCCGCTCCACGGCATGTGGGATCTTCCCGGACTGGGGCACGAACCCGTGTCCCCTGCATCGGCAGGTGGACTCTCAACCACTGCATCACCAGGGAAGCCCTTTAGTATCCTTTTAATGTCCATGGGCTCTGTAGTGATTTCCCTTCTTTCATTTATTTCTGATAGTAATTTATGTCCTTTCTCTATTTTTTTCTTAGTTAGCCCAGCTAGAGGATTATTGATTTTCTTGATCTTTTCAAAGAAACAGCTTTTTGTTTCCTTTATTTTGTCTCTTGATTTCCTGTTTTCAATTTCATTGATTTCTACTCTACTACGTATTGTCTCTTTCCTGTTGCTTACTATGAATTTAATTTGCTCTTCCTTTTCTAGATTCCTAAGGTGGAAACTAAATTGATTTTAGATCTTTGTTCTTTTCTAATATATGCATTCAATGCTATAAATTTCCCTCAAAACACTGCTTTTACTGCATTCCACCAATTGTGATAAGTTGTGTTTTCATTTTTGTTTAGTTCAAAATACTTTAAAATTTCTCTTGACCTTTCTTCTTTGACCCATGTGTTATTTAGAAATGTATTGTTTAATCTCCATGTATTTGGGGATTTTCCAGTTATCTTTCTGCTATTGATTTCTAATTTAATTCTACTGTGGTCTGAAAGCAGATATTCTATGATTGCTATTCTTTTAAATTTGTTAAGGTGTATTTTATGACCCAGAATGTGGTCTATCTTGGTGAATGTTCCATGTGAGCTTGAGAAGAATGTATTTTCTGCTGTTGTTGGATGAAGTTATTTAATAGATGTTGGTTATATCCAATTGATTGATATGTTGTTGAGTTCAACTATGTCCTTACTCATTTTCCTCCTTCTAGATCTGTCCATTTCTGATAGAGAGGTGTTGAAATCTCCAACTATGATAGTGGATTCATCTATTTCTCCTTCCTATCAGTTTTCACCTCACGTAGTTTGATGCTCTGTTGTTAGGTACATACATGTTAAGGATTATTATGTCTTCTTGGAGAATTGACCCCTTTATCATTATTATTATTTAATGCCCTTCTTTATCCCTGATAATTTTCCTTGTTTCAGAGTCTGCTGTGTCTGAAATTAATAGAGCTATTCTTGCTTTATGTTTCATTGGTATTAGCATAGTATATTTTTCTCCATCTATTTACTTTTTTATAGCAATTATTATGATTTGAAGTGTTTTTTTTAATTCTTCATACTACCAAGCATCTCAAAGCTTTCTCAGTTACTTAGTTTGCATTGTAAGCATTTATTTTCTTTTTTTGTAAGCATTTATTTTCATTTAACTTTGTATGGTATTTCTAAAACTTCCATATGTTGAAAATCAAGTAATCCATCCATTTACTTTCAATCTATACATGTCTTTATATTCAAATGGGGTTTCTTGTAGATAGCATATAATTGGGTCTTGTTTTTTGATCTACTGATAACCTCTTGTCTTTCAATTAGTGTATTTAGACCATTGATGTTCAAAATGACTATTGATACAGTTGGATTAACATCTACCATATTTGTTTTGTTTTCTACTTGTTGCCCTTATTCCTATTTTTGTCTTCCACTTTTTCTGCCTTCTGTCATTTTAAATGAGCATTTTATATGATTGTATTTTGCTCCTTTCTTAGTATAATAATTCTACTTCTTTTTTTTTACTTTTATAGTGGTTGCCCTAGAGTTTTCAATATACATTTACAGCTAATCCAAGTGTAGTTACAAATAACACTATAGCACTTCACAAGTATACCTTATAATAATAAAATACTCCTAATTCCTCCCTCCTGTTTCCTGTATTATTTTTGTCATTCACCTCACTTATATATAAGCATAGGTATATAAGTATATACATAAGACATACATATGCATAAGCATACATAATTGAATACATTGTTACTACTATTATCTTTGAACAAACTTATCTGTTAGATCAATTAATAAGAAAAATTAAAGTTTTTATTTTACCTTCACTTACTCCTTCTTCGATGCTTTTCCTTTTTTTAATGCAGATCCAAGTTTCTGACCTATATTATTTCCTTCTCGCTAAAGAAGTTAACATTTCTTGCAAGGCGGTTCTACTGGCAAAAAATTCCCTCAGTTTTTGTTTGTCTGAGATAGTATTTCTTTCTTCTTCACTTTTCAAGGATAATTTCACAGGGTATAGAATTTCAGGTTAGTGGGGTCTTTCTGTCAACATTTTAAATATTTCACTCTACTCTCTTCTTGCTTCCATGGTTTCTGAGAAGAAGTTGGATATGATTCTTATCTTGTTTCTTTATCGGTAAGATGTTTTTTTCCCTTTGGCTTCTTTCAGGATTTTTTTCTTTAACTTTTACTTTCTGTAGTTTGAAAATGATATGCCTATGTAGAGTTTGTTGTTTGTTTGTTTTACATTTATCCTTCTTGATGTTCCCTGATCTTCCTGGATCTGTGGTTTGGTGTCCAACATTAATTTGTGAAAATTCTCATTCATTATTGTTTTACATATTTTTTCTTTTTCCTGGTGTGCCCATTACACCTTCTATTGTCCCACAGTCTGTTCTGTCTTTTCTGTCTTTGTTCTCCTTGCCTTTCCATTTTGGAGGTTTCTATTGAGGTAACCTCAAGCACAGAGATTTTTTTCCTCAGCTGTGACCAGTTTTCTAATAAGCCCCACAAAAGCATTCTTTCTTTCTGTTATACTGTTTTTGATCTCAGCATTTCTTTTTGGTTCTTTCTTAGGATTTCCACGTAGGCTTATATTGCCCATCTGTTCATGCATACTATCTATTTTATCCATTAGAGCCCTTAGAATATTAACCATAGTTGTTTTAAATTCCTGGTCTGATAATTCCAACATCCTGCCGTGTCTGGTTCTGATGCTTGCTCTGTTACATCAAATTGTGTTTTTTGCCTTTTAGCATGCCTTGTAATTTTTTCTTGATAGCAGAACGTGTTGTACCAGGTAAAAGGAATTGCTGTAAATAGGACCTTAAATAATGTGGTGGTAAGTTGCAGGGGGAGGGGAAGCATTCTATAGTCCTATGATGTGGTCTCAGCCATTTAGTGAGCCTGTGCCTCTGGACTGTGAACTTCACAAGTTTTTCCAAGTTTTTTTCTCCCTGCTTAGGTAGAACAGAATGGCTAAAGTGGACTGGCGTTGGGTATTTCTTTTCCCACATGGAAAGCTTGGGTACGCTGGAGTTGGGTACTTCCCTGCTCCCAGGTCAGTTAGGCAGTGATAACAACCCTGGCAGATTAGGCTCTGGTTAACTAGCTTCTCGTGAGGGTAGACCTTGTTAAGAAGAATATAGTGCTCTGGAGTATTTCAAAATGGTTCCTTTTTCCCCTCCCCCCGCCAGAAGCACAAGGGGATTTTTCTCTGATATTTACCGTGGGTACCTGGTCGAGTTCCTGGGGTAAATCTCACAGTACTGTAGGGGTTGCCCTATGCCTGGGTCCTTTTAGAATTTTTCGCTCTCAGACTCGTCTACATTGAGCCTCCAGCAGTTTGTCAGCAATTACAGTTCAGATATTCCAGCCCTGGCACTGGTTCCCGTAGTGGCTTCCACTTGTGAGACTCTGCTCTGCTAAGTGGTGACTCTCTGAATTCACCTGTCTGTCTCTTCAGTCTTGGGGGTGGCGGTTTTCCCTGTGTCCTCACCTCTCTTATGGATCTAAGAAGAGTTGTTGATTTTTCAGTCTCTTCAGCTTTTTACCACACTGTGAGGATGGAGTGGACCCGTTCAAGCCCCTTACATGCAGAACTGGAAGCCAGAAGTCAAGGTAAATTTATGCCTGGAACATTCTTCCATGATACACAGCTTATACTCTTAGAATCGGAGGGAACCAAGACTATGCTGAAATGCTAAAGCTATACATTTTTCTCAAGGTCTGAAGAAGCTCTAGTGTATTTTTTAACAATTTTGTTGAGGTTCATCCACATTCCATATTTCGTTCTTTTTATTGGTGGGTAGTTAGTATTCCATTGTATGAATATATCAGATTTTGTTATCCATTCACCAATTGATGAATGTAAGGGTTCTTTCCAATTTTCGCTACTATAGATAATACTGCAGTGAACGTTCACATGCAGATCTTTGTGTAGACATTTGTTTTCGCTTCTCGTGAGTGGGTACCTAGGTGTGGAATTGTTAGATCCTATTGTAAATTTGTGTTTAACTTTTAAAGAAACTGTCAAGGTGTTTTCCAAGGCAGCTGTGCTACCTTACATTCCCACCAGCAATGAATGAAGGTTCTGGTTTCTCCACATCCTTACCAACATTTGTCTTTGTGAATATAGCCATTGTTATGAGGAAAAAATTATAAGTTATAAATTTCCTATAAGATGAAAAAATTAAATTTGATTAAAAGTAAATAAAAATTGATTTAAAAAGGCAAAGAGGGTCTGGTTTGGCATAAAATGATGGGGCCTGGTCAACAGGGATGAGTCAAGGGAGAGGAATAGCATTTGGGAGATACTTATTATTTGTGCTATTTTATGCTGATGAACTTTAAAAAACAAGCTATCTTAAGCTAAAGTCAAATAAAGAGTTCAATAATTATTTAGCTAAATTCAAGAAAAACTCACTTTTTCACAGCGGCAGTTAAAGCATGTGGATTAGAAGTTGATCCTGCATAATTAGCTATGATTATTCCATTGGCTGTAAATCCTTAGCTTTTCGAAGCTCTATAAGACTTTTATAAATCCCATAGGCCTGCCAGAGGCTTTAGGTCGTTTTTTGTCACCCTTCCTTTCAAGAATTATATGAGATAATCATTAATTACTAAATTATATGATTTTATAATATAGAAGTTTTATAGAAAGTAATTTTGAGGCGTTTGTTGGATTATAGGGGGAAAACAGGCATTAGAATTTGTGCTAGACCACTGCATGAGGGATTTACACATTTATGCTCATCTTGTAGCCAAACCTGGTCATTCTTCTAACTGAGTTAGAAACATCTCTCATTTTCTTCAGTCTGTTTATGGAGAAGAACACCAGAAAGCTCTCATATGTTGGAGTTAGGTCAGCTGACGATTTTTTTCTTTGCAAGTTAACAGTTGACAAAACAGAGCCCACAGGGCAACTTGACCTTGGCAGTTTCAACTGGCCTGTTAATTAAGGACATTTAACATTACCCTAATTTGCTACTGTGTATCCACCTCCCTGCTCCCACTTCCTCCTCCTAGAATTGCAACCAAATTGGGCAATTTTGTTGATGAAACTAACAATGTCAGTAACGGCCAACAAATTCTACATTACATATTAGGTCCATAAATCTTGCCCCAACCCTGATGGAATGCCACAAGTATTTGGTTTTAAAAGTGAATTATCAAGAAAGCAAGTGTGGGTTTGCGAGCACCGCTCTTTCAGAATCAGAGAAGCTCAGTTTGGAAATATTCTTGGTCTTCTAATCATGTAGTCCACCTACTGGGTATCTGTCATTGTACTGCTCTCAGCTGTATTTGTGATTCCGTTTTCTTAGCTTAGATTACGGGATCATATGATCCCCTACCTACCCATCCCTGAGGTCCTTGAAACTTTGAGTTCCTTGAAATGAAGCTTCATGAACACAAAACATAATGTTGGAAAGGGAAGAAAAATAGTTTTTAGCCTTTTTGGAGTACTGTGGTCTCAAATTGTATGTACACAAAAGAGGAGAATTTAGATCAAAGATTAACAACACTTAAGCAAGAGTCCATGGACACCCTGGAGGGATCCAAGAGGTACGCGTTGTTGGCTTGTAGAAGGGTCTCAATGGATGTGTTTCTGAAGATAGGGCCCAGAGCTTTCATCAGGCTTTTCAGAGTGCCTCAAAAATATAAGGTATTTCAAAGAGAGAATTGCTAACCATTGGGATAGATGACAGAGTGAATCTTTTCCTGACAGATTTTTAAGAATAAGGTATTTAATGGTCTGTATATTAGGTAAAAATTTTTCTATCAGTATTAAGTTTCTTACGTGTGATAATAGTATCACAGTTATGTAAGAGAACTTTTTTTTTTTTTTTTTTGCTAAAAGAACATTCTTAATTCCTAGGAGTACATGCTGAAGTATTTAAGGATATACTGTTATTATGCCTGTAATGTACTCTCAGTAGTTCAGCAAAGAAGTACTATATACAAGTATCAATAGGGAGAGACTGAGATAAAGCTGTATGTTAACAGATGTGGCAAAATGTTAACAATTGGTGCATCTGGGCAGAGAGTAGGCAAATATTGGTTGTACAATTCCTTCAACTTTTCTATGAATTAAAAAAGAAAATTAGGACTTCCCTGGTGGTCCAGCTGTTAAGACTCCACACTCCCAGTGCAGGGGGCCCAGTTCGATCCCTGGTCGGGGAACTAGTTCCCGCATGCCACAACTGAAGATCCTGCACTCCACAACTAAGACCTGGCGCAGCCAAATAAATAAATAAATATTTTTTTTAATCTTTAATTGTGTATAATAAGGCATTCACTTATCTGCCTTAATTTCATAATTATAGGCAAGGAAGTGCTAGTATCATATTTTATAGATGGCTAAAAAGACAGAAAAAGATTAAGAAAACCAGGCAGCAGCATCCCAAATTACATTGGAGCCATAACCAAGGACAGACCTAAAAACAGTGTCTTCTTCCCATCTTCTCCCCACATAGCTCCAGCCCGCTCCGTAGGCAGACCCATGGTTTGTTCACACAAGCCCCTGAAATCACTGTCGTGCCCACTGTCGTGCTATCTTTTAAGTTCCCGGGCAAAAGCAATCGTAGCCACTGCCTGGTCGATGTTTTGCTTGAACAGCAAAGTATGCACAGTAACAGATGGCATCTTGTGACCTTCTTAATAACAGGCTCAGCTGCCAATGTTCCCTTGTGTCCAGTCTCTGCAGGGAATTTGGAAACTCTTGCCTTACACTTGAATATTTTCTGAGAAACACATTTAACCATTTATTAGACTGTTTCCTGATTTCAAATAGAGGAAAACAAAATTCCCAGTTCCTGAAAGGGACATGGGTATTCTGTGGGTCTGGGGGCCCATCCTGGGATTCTTTGGGGTGTGCTGGCCATCATCCGGCGTATCTGTCGTTTTGAGTGTGGTGAGGACCTCAGTCCCAGGCAAAACGCTTCCCAGGCTGCCTGGATTGATGGGTGGCCAATATAAGCTTTTTTCTTTCTGTAGTTTAAAAGAAATGTATGCGCTTCCCACAGCCAGGCATACAAATTAACCAGAAAACAAACTAGATGCCGGCGTTAGAAGGTCCCTCTGCTGTGACAGCCCACACCAGGAGTGAAGTCGGGAGCCCCGTGGTGGGTGGGGCTTGTTCTAAGCCACTTTGCTCCCTTCCTTGGGCAGCTGCGCTGTCGAGCTCCACGGTGGGAGTGGGAAGAAGGGGGCGGGGCAAGGATTAGGTGAGGCAGTGGCCTGCCCGGCGGCCCTGCTGGTCCTCAGCTGTCCTGCAGGGGCAGCTCGCCTGTGTTAACAATGGAAGGCACACAAGAGTGGCCCTAGGAACAGCCAGGGAGGATATTCATGTGGAAGCCTGAGGAGTCCTCTTCTCCCCCAGCAGAATAGACCTGCAGGGCTTGCACCAGGAGGAATCCAGGAACAAGTCATATCAGTCCCCATCAGGCAACAGGTGTGTGTGGGGGGATGGGATGGGTGGAGAAAGTGCTAGAACATTCTCAGTGTGGGTGGTAGGAGTGCAAAGTGTGGAACCTCAGGGATAAACAACTCAGGTGACAGGCACAAGATGGCGTGAATTCACACGCAGGAGGAGATAGGTAGGAATTAGGTTTCTGTTTGGCGGGGTGGGAGGTTTCATCTGGGGGTTTCTCCTGGTAGCTGAGGCAGAGGAGGGGAGTCTTTCCTCTTGGCCTCAAATTCTGGCCTTTGGAAAAGAGGATGCCTTGGAGAGGGGCGGCCCTCCAGATGCCTCTGCCTGGGAGATGCTGGTTTGGATGTAGAGAAGCCTGGATGATGAGCTGCGAGTCTCTCCCAGGACAGCTGGGGCAGATTTTGCCTGGTTTGGTGGCCATCCTACCCCTTTACTGTTCCGTCCCAGGGCTGGCCTGTTGCTCCCTCCCCAGGCTGACCAGCACACCGGCAGGAAAAATCCCTCTCTTCGGGCATGCCCTAAGCCATCTGCCCCCACCTTCACTCTGGGGCCCCAGCCTCCAGAAGCCAAAAGCCTTGGAAACGCTCCCAGAACAGCACAAGGGGGCACATCCCTGAGACGTTACGGAAACAAGGTGAACAAAGCTTGGAAGCCACAGGACACCCACATCACGAAGAAGAGGAAGGTGGGCTTCCCTGGTGGCGCAGTGGTTGAGAGTCCACCTGCCGATACAGGGGACACGGGTTCGTGCCCCAGTCCGGGAAGATCCCACATGCCGCGGAGCGGTTAGGCCCGTGAGCCATGGCCGCTGAGCCTGTGCGTCCGGAGCCAGTGCTCCGCAATGGGAGAGGCCACAACAGTGAGAGGCCCACGTACCGCAAAAAAAAAAAAAAAAAAAAGAAGAGGAAGGTACTTGCCCTGCCTTGGGCCCTACAGGCACCAGCTCTCCTCCCGCTCTCTTTCCTCTCTCCCGCTCATCCCCGATTGTGTTCACCATCACGGGTTTACATGACTGCGTGTGTATGTTTCAGATTTGGGTTCGCCTGGCTGTGCCTTGTTCAGCCTGTCACAGAGCCTGGGTGGGGGGTGGCGCAGCGTGTACATCTAAAACCACGTACCGAATGCAACAGTGCCATTTGGAACGCTATTTTTCATTCCTTTTTTTTTTTTTTTGGCCAAGCCATGCTTG